AAAATAATATTATTCTTCGGTGCTCAATATGGCTCCAACGTTATGTCGGCCATCAACGAGGAATCACCATCATCGCGAGATGGAAGGAAACGAGAAACTCGCAACTCACAATCAGATACAGCATCTGTCAGTGTTGATGTAGATTGAGATGTGTTCTCGGTCTATCTGGGATTTCGACATATGGCGACAGGAGTGTGTGAAAGGAGAACTGGGAGGATTACCAACTTCCTTCCCTAAAAACTAAAAATGAATTATTTTTATTTTTCAAAAGTATTCATTTTCTCGCTGAAGCACTATTTTATATTTTTCTACGACATGCTTGATCGCATTAAATTTTATTCACGTCCTCGTTGAATGTACTTCATCTAGAGAGTAAGAAAAAAAAAGTGTAATGAGAAATTCCGACAGAAAAGTGTCGCTATTCTTGATTAAGAAACTACTCGCTGAGACACTTCTCTTTTCTGTTCTCTTCGTGATAATCTGCAAGAGAAAAGGTCTATCCGAAAGAAGATATACCCCTAGGGAAAAATGGTGGTAGGAAATAATGGAAGGAAAAAAGAAAATAAAAGAGAGAGAGAGAGAGAGAGAGAGAGTATCCATTACACTCGCAGCGTGTTTTTATTCCCAGAAGAGAGACGATTTCTAAAAAAAAGTCAATTCCATTATGAGTCGATTCGCAATACTACTCTATTTCTCTATAGCTACATTTTCCTACAAATATGAAAGATTAAAGTATATAAAGATAATAAAAATATGCAAAACGATACTTCCAAATTCTCCAGAGATACGTAAAAAAATAGCTCGCAAGAAAATATAATAAAACTCGTATGAGATAATTCCAAAAAGTAAATATTGTTATAAAAGGAACATTTGTAAGAATTTATTTTCCCAACTTACGTTCGCAAATAAAGCATATCATTGATGGTTACTCAAAGGATTAATATTTTTTTCGAACAGAAAGAAGAAGAAAATAAAAAAAAAAGGAAGTTGGCTTTCGGAGGAGAATCCACGGGGGTCCGTGTCTCGTTTCTCTTTTTCTTCTCGACGAGTCCTCATGTAAATGACGTCCCGACACAACCCGTACTGTCTCTGACGCCCTCCTCTGTCCGCTAAGAAACGAATTCTCCTACACACCAACGAAGTCTTAAAGCACGGATCTTAACGAGGAGCCGAAGATTGATGGCGACAGAGGCGTGCAGCATCCACTTTGAAATATCGCACCGATCGAACCTGCTTAAAATATTGTTCGAAATAAAATACATATCCTTTTTTTTCTTTTTATTCTCTTCGGAGAATTCTAATAGTTAACTCGAAGTAGTTAACAACTCTTTTTTCACATTTTTCATAATTATTTTATTATATATTTATTCGCGTATCAATATTGAAAATGTTATATCTACTTAAAAAGAAAAAAAAAGAAAATACCTCCTGGACAGACTAAATTTAGATAATTGAGAAACTTGTTTAATTTGTTTGTTATACAAAATATATATATGTTAATAATCGATTAACAAAGAAAAGTAGAAAAAATCGGAAAAAGTAGATGATAGAAACACAACCGTGTCCGACTGTTGTTGTCGAAATACATTTTCTCGAGCCGATCGAATTTCTTAATGTTCGTTTGTGTTCCACCTATTTCTGCGCCATTGTGCGTACATAAACGGTTTCACGGGGCCCAGGCGGGACCTTTGAAAAGACCCCACTCCTCGAACAACATCAAGATGGGCCTGTCAGACCCTAACTAGCTAAGGTCGAACCCAAGCTCGTCTCACACGAGCGAAAACTGGCCTCGGGCACAAGGTTCTTCGCGAACATCGTGTTTTCCTGTTTTGACATGGAGTTCTGACGAATGATTACGAATCGTTCTGCTTTGCAGTATTTCAAATTGGATATGCGCTATTAATTTACCCAAACTTTGTATATACTTCCAAACTTACCATCTTACATCTTTCATTGATTTAATTTTAACAATAAGTAAATGATAATTAATTTATTATAATATTTTCCTCTAGGAGATATTTTATCATTCTATTGATTTTATTTCCTTGCCATTTATTAATTCCAACGAAATTTTGTACATAAAATATAAATTTATGATTGAAAATAAAAAATAATTTCAAAGTATTTCTTATTTACAAATCACATCAAATAATTTATATTTTCAGTTGTTTTGAGGGTGAATTGATTGAAAAATCCTTGCTTGATTATAAAAGATTTTCAAAAGTTTAAACATCATTCGGGTCTGCATATTTCTTTCTACTATATGTATTGTATTATACTGATGCAAAGCTACGCACATTAGGAAGATGAGAATATATGTAATATTGTATATAAAAAGAAGAATAAAAATAACTTTTAGAATACGATGATGTCGCGAGCGGATAAAACACCTTTTTTCTCGAATTATTCGTCCAAAGATCGATAAAATAATCTGGTAAAGTAAATATAACCTCGACGCCAATGTGAATTCGGAAGCTTATCTTATCCACGCTCGGGTGCAATACGAGTCTTAGGTGTTGGCAAGCACGTACGCGCGATCGTGCTTCCTTCAGATAACCCAAAGATTTTCAAACCTTGTTTTAAAACATATATATATATATAACTACGTATATATTAATATTTATGTCTATAGGCCGATATACGTTTGCTTGTCAATAAAAAGAAATATACAACGACGTATATTTTACAGCAGGACAATTTCGAAATATGATTACAAAGAGCAAAATAAAAGAAGAGGGCCTTCAATATTGGAGCTGATCGTGCCAAAGTACCTTTTTGTTTAGGATTCAACCGTGTAGGGTGTAACCAAGTGGAACGACAGAGATCAAAATCGATTTCTCGACGTGGCAAATCGAGACTCGATATCCTAACTTTATTACAATTACGAGAAACCGTACTAAACGATTCGAAATTGGAAACATGCACTTAAAAATGCATCTATTAAAAATATGACAAAAATAACATTATTCAAGTTTAATAACATATACATTTACTTGTAAATCAACATTCCAAAATAGCATAAAGCATAAAGATCAATAGGAAATTTAAATAAAGATCCTAAAAAAAAAATATAAGACGAAGAAGTACAATAAGCATAACTATCTGTCGATTATTCGGCGTTTAAAGATTAGAATATAACTATAAACGAATTCCTTCATCTTCTCGATCCTAAAACACGTCTACCTTCAACAAGAACCTCGTTAAAATATTTTATTGTGTAGATGATCCAAGGTACTACAATATATATGCGTATCTCCCAAAAGCACAGCGGTATAGATACTAGCCTACCTGCAGCACAAAGGGAAAGCCGATCAAACGACACACCTTTCGATCGACTTTTTTTCTATATAAGTCATTGAAAAAAGTCGAAAACAGTATGTATGGAACGTACGATTTTCTCTCTATCTTCTTCTTTTTTTGTCTCCCTTTCTTTTTCTCTAAGGAGCAAGAGAATCGTTGATCGGAGGCGTGGGTTCAGGTGTCGCCAGAATGCACGAACGAATGAACGAATGAACGAACGAACGAATGAACGAATGAACGAATGAACGAATGAACGAACGAACCGTTGCCGTTTCGAACTCGGGGCAACGAGCTGAATGCTTTTCGTGGCTCAACGAGCCGAAAACAAATTATCCGCCGCCGTGGAAATTATCGAGGAAATATTGGAAAGTTCGCGCCGTCGAGTGGGCTGCACGAATTACTCCCCGCTTCCGGTACATCGATTCACATGCAATCCGGTCGAGCGATGATTTTTAAGGAACGATCAGAACGCGGAACGATCTTTATTCGATCTCAAATATTACGATAAAAGACTAGTTTTATCTTCTATCCTATTATATATTCTATGTTCTTTTAGAAGTTATATATCTTTTTGCTTTTTACTTTTACTTTTTTTCTCTTTCAATTATTTTAATACAATTGCATTAATATTGAAATTAATTACGACTATGTATTCTTCCGTTTTGTATTTAAATATGGAGTAATTGTTACTAGCAAATATTTTCGATCAATAAATAAATTTACTTTTAAAGCGTCTATTAACTTTGTTGTTGGAAACTTCAAAGAGAATCCCCTGCGATTCCGCCGCGTAGATTTAATCGTTTGTAAAATATTGCACGTAGGAAAACGTTTTCACAGCTTGACCGACAAACGATTCTAGTTCGCTCTTTTGACCAAGTAAACCGATCAGCTTGATCAATTCCAACGAAATTCACGTATCAATTGAGAAGCTCGTACGTATTCATTTCCTTCGTAAATGTCTCATTAGTACCAATTATCTCTCGTACATAGATTTTCTAGGATAGAAGGATGGGAGTCGTATTTTAAAACAGTTTCACGCATCACCACTTACCTACCTAGGATTCGAGGGATGATTTCATGTATGTTGTACATACATACGTTGTGCCTGAACCTAAGATTATGCCCTAAGGATAATGAAGGCTTATAGTACAAGCGACGTAACGCGATAATAATTATTCATTAGTTCATACGAACTTGAGTGAATGAAAAACGTCTCTAATATCGATCGTATAGGAGTTTAATTGCGATGCTAAATAAGCAGGTACACACAAGTTAACCAGTATTTACATTAAATAATTAATTTTTCAATGAAAAGATCCAGTATGCCGAACGGTTTTACGACTACCTCTAATAAAAACGCATCACTTTTTTTATGACCGATAAAATTCTTATCGACATATAACTTCAGGCAAATCGATACTCGTGCTAAATTACAAATACATACAATATCTATCGATCGCGATTATTGATTCGTAAATGATGTTGGAAAATATGGAGAACCAATGGTGACAATTTCAATAGGAGGAGGAGGTTCGAACGAACCAATCACAAGATAGATAAGATATTTGAAAAATTATTCGCGGTTAATGTATGGGCGCGTATTTAATCTCAACAGAACAACCGATGATAGATTGATTGCAACCATATAACCATAGTTATCGAACGTTTATTATCGTTAAGCGCGCGATGAATGAACTTACCCATGAGTTTGCGTACTTCTGCCTGACTGAGAAAAAGATTGAAGTATCCCGAGGCAGGTGAAGCAAACACGAGGAAAAGAATCGACGTCAGTTCGAGCAGCGACATTGCGTCTGCGCAAGCAGCGTCAGCCACAATCAAATGACGGATGACACGTGTGTAGCTTTTTATCTTTCTTCTTCTTATTTCTTATTTTTAACAAAATAACACTTCAAATAAATGTTTTCAAAGAGGTCATCATCTCTTCTGGTAAATGCTAAGGCGTCGCGCATGCACGACTTGGCAGCGCGACGCCTGACACGACGCGACAAAGTATCCTCCTTCTTTACGTCTATTTCTTTATCCCTACCTCCCTACCGCGGCGTGCGTCACTGTCGTCAAAAGGAGCGCGCGCGCTTTGACAGCTCGACACTTTTTTTCAATTAACAGTAGTAGTTTCATTCAATTCTTCTTCGAGAGAAGAGAGAATGAGTACTTTTCGCAGATAAAATACGAGATAAATGACACGAGATTTTGAGCGAGCAAAGCAAAGTTGTACGGAGCGAACGTGGGTTACCTCGTGAAAGCCACGAGCGATTATGGGCGACACGACTACCGCCATGGTTCGTCTGGGCTCGTCGTCGCTTGCCCGAATCTAACCGAACCTTCCCGAGTTCAACCGACCTCTCTCCAAGTCCACCCACCACGCTTCTCAAAAGAGAATACTTACATATGTATTCTATATGTATATAGAGTGTAGGAGTTTTTTCTCTCCCTTCTATCCACATATTTGGATTCTAAATAATAATCCTAATAGAGAGAATGTCGAAGCGGAACGACTAATTGTGGTTTCAACGTTCTTTTTTTTTCCTCTTTTTATCTCGAATCATACTTCGCAAACTTGAGATTGTATTATCAAATCGACACTTTTCCATCATTTTTTTTTGATACATATTTTTACTGCTTTTGTATTCAGTTTATAACATTCTTCGTTAATTATGGCGTTTACTACGATTTAACGAGCACGAACGACCAACGTCTACAGAATAAGCAATCGTTTTTTGCAGACTTTGCGTCGCGTCGCGTCGCATCGATATGGAAAACTTCCAATAAATGTGACACAGTAAAAAGAACGATCGAGAACTAAACTTGGCTACGATTGTTCGAAACTTTTGGATGATGGAGTTCTTCTAGAGTATTTCCGTTCCAATGAAGAAATCTCTAGTTAAGGTCGTTACTCTATTTTTCTTCTCTCCTCCCCCATAAAAATACCAATCGAGAAAATTTTCCTTTCTATTTATTTACGAGCAATAATTTGTACTATATCCACAGAATAGAACAAAATCTTAAATACTCTATTTAATCTCTTTGCACTATGTTGAAATTTCGAACAAGCTGTGCCTAACCCATGCATGATCGGTCTCTTTTCGCATCGGAAAGATCACAAGGTTTTGTTTAACGAAAATTAAGATCTAACTTCAAACACTTAACAGGAAATTAAATAAATATAGAAGGAAAGGAAATGAGTGAAAGGATCTACAAAAATATACAATTGCTATCATTCACGTTATTTGATAACAATAATTGGAAACAATTTATCGCTCTTCCAAAAAGTTTGCATTATTAACAAGTATATAAAACCATAAGAAAGTATATAAAGAAAAATTTGTTTTGCATGTTAGGTTCGCTTCGCTAAAACGTGACAGCCTTTAAAGAGAATTTTGATTCTACTGGATCGTAATTTAATATGACGTCGTTCGAGGAAAAAAGTTATGCAGTTCGGTGTTTATTATCGTCTTGAGGAGAAACAAGGGAGAGGAAATTCGAGTCGATGTACATTAATCGGCTCAGATTTGCGCAGCATATTGCAAACACGCTTATGCAAACAATACCGAGTATGTTATCGAAAAATTCTCATCTTTCTCGATGTAAAATTGAAAACGATCTAGACCAGTGACATATTCGTTCCACATTTTCATAATTCTTGAACGTTTACGAGTGATTCAGACGCCCAAGTAGCCTCCTTTGAATCATTCTCCTTCTTTTTTTACTCTCTTTATATCTTTCTTATACCTTTTTCTGTCGACGATGTGCTTGATTATAAAACGCCGTTATTACTGTCGAGAAGAGAAAAAAAAAAAAATAAAAGAAAAGAGAAAGAAAAGGAGGCAGGATTCGTTTTGTAAATTTGCGGCTGATTGAAAAGCTCGTGATGAAGAGAGAAAGAGTATAACTATAAAGAGATGAGAGAAGCGAGGAAAAAGAGAAACGAGCACGAGTACGAGCACGAGCACGAGCACGAGAGAGAGAAAGAGAAATCAGTTGGATATTCCTTTTATACGTCTTAAATCAAAAAGCATCACGGGAGTGTTTCGTATTTGCTTCTACGAAGCACGATACCTTATCGATGAACTCAACGGATGCAAATTCGATCGATCTTATATAACCATCTTCTTTCTTCCCTTTAATCCTTTCCTTCATTTATTTTGTCGTTATTATTATCACCCACTTTTCATCTCTCTTTTTCTATCTTCGCGGGTTTTCATCGTATCTCTGTGAGGATAAGAGAAAAGATGAGAGATAAAAAGTGCGTGTGTTGGATATTGGGAAATACCCTTATTTAGTGTGTGCGGTAGTTGAATATGAATGTGCGTGTAAGAATATTGCGACTGAAAGAAATCGAGCGTGTTTTATTATATTTAAAATGTGACACCATTTAATAACATTGCTTTGTGCATATAAATGCGTCGAAGTATCCCGAATATTCCCGATCCGGAAATATCGAATGATTCAGTCTTTAGCTTATAAATAAATACCTTTTATTATAATAAATCACATCTCTTTAATACGTTGAATTATTTTCTTAACCAAGTTCACAATGAAAAATTTATCAAAGAAATTCACATAAATAGAACTATGATGGACATTCTTTACGGTCATCTTCTAAGGATTAACCCATTAACCTTTGGTATTTACACGACCTTATTTTCCTAACGGATATACGAGCTTTATTTCATTGCTCTTTTCTGAGATCGAACATTTAATTTTCTTTCATTAATTATGAACACGTAAATTAAAAAAGAAAAAGTGCCAAAATTCTTCCCTGATAAAACAACATCTATTAAAGTATGAAAAAAATGTTACTTAAGAAAAAATATAGTATCCTTCAAAGGATTTACAGTACTAAGGGATGAATATAAAAATATAAAAAAGAAATAGAAACAAAATAATGAATTAACAATTGTTTAAATTATCTTTTTAAAAGAATGAGTATAAGGAACACAAAACCGACGATAAGAATCACGAAACATTCGCATATGAAAGATATTAAGTCGGATTACTGGAAGGGAATAAAAAAAAAAAAAAGAAGAAAAAAGGGAAGAAAAAATTAAATATATCCGCGAAGTAAGCGTATGTACAATGGATCTTTAACGCTTTGCCGTTGGTCGTATCATAAACAAGAGGAGAACTTGGAGTACATCGGCTTCTTACGGAGGTCTGTTTAATCTAGAGCAAATACGGGACGCCTCGTTTAAATCAAGGCAAAAATAAAAAGAGAGAAAGAGTTAAGGAGGCAGAACGGAACCTTTTGTCGGCTCTAATCTCGACAAACAATCGTATATCTTACCCGAGTTCTCCACCAAATTCTCCTTTTATTCGAAAACGCTTATCCTCCAGCCGGCTGTTAACGGCTTCTGAAAAATATATCAAATATAAGAACTTTCAAGCATGTTTTCTCATGGTGATTTTTTTTTAACTTAAAAAGCCCGACGATGTACAATCGAGAAAGGAGAGCGGCCGGAAGAACGAAATTAGGTCGATCAAGCATTTTCTTCCTTTTCGATGCGGTAGCTTTGCGTCAAATCGCGATCAATATCCGTTGCCTTTACTTTCTTCTTCTCCCTTACTCTTTCTATCTCGTTCCGAACGAAAATAACTTTTTTTTACTATTATATTATAAATATTGTAGAGAAAACACTTATTATGTATCAAACTAAGGATATCCGAATTTCCCGCATAGCCGGTACCACACAAAAATATTGAAAATAAACACTTTTATTAACAAGATAACTAATAACAAAACGTTTATTACAATACACACGCAATAATTAAATGAACTCCCTCCGCTGCTTCTCGTAAACTCTTAAATACAAAACCGCAGTAACGTATCACTATTTAACAAAAAAAATGAACCGCTCGAATTGTATCGTCCCTCACCGCTCACTTTCACACTTATTCCCTCTCAAAAACGCTCGTTTAATTTCTCTCAAATTCACTAATTTCTATCGCTTGATAACGCTTCTTTAACGCATGTATTGTTCTCACTTTCTCGTAAAAAACAATTCACTTGACAACCAACTTGCTTTGTTTTCCATTTCCCCGCGACGCTCTCACGTAACAACGTGACGTCATACACAAGCTTGCTCTTGTTCCTTTGTCACCATGCATACATACATACATACCACACACACATACACCGGATACCTCTACACCCGCAATATTGACCAACATATTACAGATACGTTGTATTATCTTTGGATGTACTTATTTTCCGTTAAATTTGACGATTCCTTTGTGTAAGTTTAGATGCACTGACGATGTTTACGTAATAATATATCATTAATCTTACGATACTCCTTTGTGTGTGTTTTTCTGTGTTATCCTTTGTGCCATCGAAGATTTTACGATAGTGATTCATTTCAACCACGATTTTATCGAACTGGAACATCCTATTGTTCTAACATCTCCTGCCGTCTCATATAAACTTCATAGGATGTAGAGTGTATAGATATAGATATATTCCTGTGTTTGWATATATACTCTTTATTAGAATTATTATTATCGTTACACACATGAGCAACATTCGGAAAATCATACATACATATAACATATGGATATTCTGATAAGAAGTACATATGTGTAAAGATAGTACAGTAGTATGTATCGGGTGTGTTGAAAGTAAGCTTCTGCAAAAGTAACAGGAAGAGAAGAAGAAGAAAAAAAAGAAGGAAAGAAAAAAAAGAAATATAGGAGAAAATAAAAAAAAGAAAGAAAAAGGAAATTTCTTTGGCTGATCACGACGCGGTCTCCAATTAACGCTTTACGCGTGTACTGTTCAAAAGGGCCGCGCGGTGAAAAGCGCGCGATAAAACACGCTCCGTTTGCCTTTTACAACGTTTGCGCGCGTTTTGTAGACGCGGTTACAAACATTCAACATACGTATGTTCAACGCAAATATGTATGCATTATATGTATGTATACGTATATATGATGTTCTCTCGTACATATATGTTGCTCTCTTTTTTTTTTCGAGTTCCGCCGCTATTTTTTTTCTATACGGCCACTGAATCCTCTGGAAAAAGAGCGAAAAACCTACCCTTTCATCCTTACGCGGCCTTTCATTTTTTATATTTCCAAACCGGCTGTGGGTGAATCGAGCTTTCTCCAGCTTTGATTTTTGTAATATCAAACGTTTCGCTCACTCATGATTCAAGTACCAGAGACGCGTCTTTCCGTTGGTTTCTAGCTTTCCTAATGATCAAAAGGTAACTAAGAAGAGTATATACGTTCGAGATTCCCCAAAGAAAAAATACTTCTTCTTCAATCTTTGACGTTATTTATATGCGAATTTTCTAATACGTTGCATCCTGAATCGCTTGTAATATCATACCTTTTATATTGCAAGTAAAACTAACAAAAATGTAATT